CAGTAATTAATATGGATAGGTTAGTTTTCACAGTTAATATAATTGCAAGTAAGAATAAAGATAAGAGAGAGAGACACGCAAACTTTAACGAGGTTCGAAGGTGGGGTAATCCTTCTACGTCCTCAAAATCCACTATGTAGTTGGTTGTTGAATAATGAACCAACAGTTACACTTGTGTGAATTTCTGCACGGTATATCTTCACAAGATCAATGTTGCTACTGCACTCGTGCTGGCTTTGTTGTTCCTTCGAAGGTCAAGCTTCTTTAACAACTGCAAGATCCGAACAATAGGACTTGCAAGATCAACTTGTAAGAGAGTTGACCTACCCCTTTTAATCAATAAGTTTGATCAAAAGTAATATCCTTCAACGTGGTGTGGTGCTTGAGGCAAGGAAACCTTCAAGTGTTTACACTATAGCTTTTTGGAAGGAGGAGAAGTTTGCTTCTGGATAAGGAGTTTTGAAATCTCTCTTTATCACGCTTTTTCGGCTAACTGTGAATGAGATAGCTTTAGTGATTGCTTCGTTGTGTTGTTGTATCAACGTATCTCATCATGTTCTCTTCAGTCTTCCAAGGATGCTATTTATAGCTGGATTGGATAATCTATCCATTGAATCATAATGGACTATCCGTTGCATTTGCTCGCTTCAATTTTGAATGAAGATTGTGATTTGAAGATTCTTCGTTGAAGTGGGTGTTTGGATTTACCCAATTGTTGAGAAAGGGTTCCTTTTTCCACAAAATCCGTCTTCTAGCTTTTGTTCAAGAATTCAAGACTGTAGCACTTTACTCTGTTTGTCTTCTAGTGCTTGTTTAGGAATTCCGGACAGGCTCTTTAATTTTAGAGACCCAGACTTTGTCTTCGAGTAATTTGTTCTTGAATCAGCCTAATTATCTTCATTCTAGCCGTTGAAAATCAAGAGATTGATTTTTCCTTGCCACGGGTAGAATTTCTTCATTCAGGACTTAGATGATTTTCTAAGCTTTTTCTCACTTGTCCGCTTTCTGAGAAATCCGGATGAGTCTTACTTCCGGGTGAGAAGGAGATCCACGCTAGTCTTCCGATTTGAATGACTTAGCCTTCAGCGAGTTGTAGCGAGACATCCGGTTCTTATGTAGTCTTTCCGGATCTGAGGATTTTTATCTGATTGAGAAATATCACAGTTTTATTGGAAAACTCAAGAACTTGGTTTTAACAATATTTCTAAAAAGAAAAATTACATTGAATATTGGGGGAGACCTAAAGTCCCTATTACATAAATCATCATCAAAATCTATAATATTTTTCCCAACAATTTCCCCCTTTTTGATGATGACAAACAAGTGTTTAAGAGTTCCGGTCGCTGTACTGAGAACTAATTTTGTAACTTTCTTTTAGTTTCTCATAACATACAGCTTGTTAACAAAAACTCTTAAACAAATACAATTCAAATTACAATAATTCCTAAACCAAGTTTTTGTCTTGAGATTTTGTGATTTCTTCCGCCTTGACTGTTTTCAGCTTCAGCAGATTCTGCTTGGCTGAGCAGTTGGCGTTGCGTTTGATAGATCTTTAATATCCAAAGTGGATATTCAAGATCTTGGAAGCAACACATCTCTCAAAAAAGATAGAGAGAGTGTTGTTCCAGAGAAGGTGTATGGTCTAATACTGAAAAATACGAGATTTCCACCATAGACCTTCTCTACT